TCAAGCCAAATTCGAGTTCAAGAATGTGGTTATATTAAACTATACTTCTAAATAGTAACTAAATTATCAAGCAGTAAAATGGTTGTTGTGTATTCAGTAGAGACAAATATTCCAAGATTGTGATCGATTCACCAATCCTATTGTGTTCTAATTAACTCTCCCTTTCATACAATTCACTCATGGTTGCTAATTAATCGATAATTGCTCTCATAGCCTTCTCCCGAAGTACTACTTGCCTATATTCCTACGGAATTAATCTATCAAGAATGCATTAAGATTACGATATTAAATTAAGTACGGTGACTAGGTATATTTCTATCCTAACCACAAATCCGCCACCCTAAGAGTTAAGATCATGCTCTCTTCAATTCTTCTCTAATCTAAACATGGCTTTCCCAAGCATAACATAGATAGTAAATAGAACTTAACTGTTGACTAGACAATTAAGTAATTAATCACAAAATTGAAAAAATAATCATATATTAGTGAATTATAATCAATGTTAAGTCAACGTTAAACAACAATATTCACGGTTAAATCACAACCCCGAAACTATGGGTTTTAGCCACTCATGATAATATCAAATAATTTTATAAGTGTTGGTTAATTGAAAATACTAAGAAAAGATGAAGAAAATTGAGATCTCTTCGCACTCGGATATTTCTCGTGTGTATTCTCCCTTCAAAGTGGCGTCTCCCCTCTAAAAATAAGCTTAGTCTTGCTTTTATACGTGTTGGGTAGGTCTAGGGCCGAAATAACCTTGTCCCGGGCAAAATTGGACAGAATTCACGCCACCAGCGCCCAGCCCAACGCTAGGCGCTGTCCCTGGCGCTGTTAAATTGGAGCACACTGTCTCTGGTGCCACAGGTAGCGCTAGGCGCTGGCTGTGGCGCTGGAAATTTCCTTTTTTGCTTTTTCGTCCGTTTTGGCTCTAATCTCGCACCTTTCACCCCCAATTGCTCCCGGATCATTCCTACACATAGAAACACCTCAAATTAATATAAATCAACACATTTTACATCCTAAATCCACGAATCAAAAGTAAAACATGAGTGATATACATATAAATATATATAGTTTAAGCTAAATATCATTCGTCCACCTTTTGGTTCGTAAATACCCTCAACATTAATTTTAGGCTTAAAACTACCCCTTCTTACTAACGACACAATATGTGGGTCCCACTTTTAATGCGTTGGCAATGTGTTACTGGACCACATGTCATTACCAAAAAAAAAAAAACTTATAAGTATCTTCTTTCCCCACCATCTTCACCTCCCCATTTGCAGACACGATCGAAATTATTAGTACACGAGGTCTAAACTCGTTATCCTTTATTATATTTAAAGCCGTATATTGTCGTACGTTTAGCGGTGCACAAGGTCTAAACTCGTTATCCTTGTATTCTTGTATATTGTCGTACGTAAATTATTGGTGCACATGGTCTAAACTCTTATGAGTATTACATTTCATGAAAATTAGGTTACTAAAAGCTGCAACAAAATGAGAATGTGGGTGAATTTCGTTTAGATCTGATGGATTTGGGTGAGATATGTCATTTCCCTTTCTTTGGCGACTCCCCAGGAGACACATTTTGGACTTTTTCAGACAAGTCCCCACATTTCCTTTCATTCCTTTGCCCCACCTACCTCTTTTCAATACTTTATTCTGAATTTTATAACTTTAGTTTTATTTGTTTATATCTCACTTTATAAGGCAAGATTGAAAGAATATAGTACGTGAAAGTTGAAACCTTCAAACAGCCAATTTTAGTATATAAATTAAATAATTTAATTTAAAAAAATATATATTACCTTGATAATTCATTTCATTTGATTATAGATAATTTATAAAGGATTACACAAATAATATATTTATTGCATTAATTAGTTCAGTGAAAACATTATGTTTATGTATGTATAATGTTTTTCCGAGCTAAAGTCCAAAACCAGCTACAAAGCCTTTTTTTGCATGCCTTTAACAGTTTTAACTTAACTTTTCTTCTTGTGTAAGTTGATCCATGACCATTACAATAATTTCATACCAAAAGTGCTTTGTTTTTACCGTTAGTGGCTATGATTTCATCAAAAAAAAAAAAGGCAACCAAAGTTTGTGTATGGTATTTTACAGTTTAGAGACTACTTTCGGGTAATTAACTCTTCTAAGTATGACTTAAGATTATGATTTGGGAGGCCATCAACGTACAAACATATTTACATGGACTTATTCTTTTAGTTTCTCATTTTGGTAATTAATGAGTAACTACTTTGGAACTTACTATGCAACACAAATATCTAACATAGTCATATATAATGATTTTTTTTACAAAGTGGCGACGGGACGTCTAACTTGTAGAAATATATTTTTTTCAAGTCGATTCAACCATCCGTTCGTAGAGTTATTTATTCGATCGCAAACATTTTGGGAATACCTTTAGACTTATTATTTATGAACTTGTTCAGAAATACCATAAATTAAAAGAATACAGGAGTTTGTCGTTTGAACAAATAGGATCCTTCAGTTCCTTTGAACCAAAAGACAAAATAAGATTTGGTATAATAATGTATTTTTTTTATATTTCTATTTATAATGATTTTTTAGTAACTAAAACTATGGTATAAGAAAGAATTAATCTGTGCCCAATCTAAACCTCCAACTTTAAAAGTGAACTTTTTGTCACCATAGGGTAATACTTCGAGGATTTTGAATTGTGAGTAACACTTAGCTTCGATCTAATTTGAGAATTCAGTTTAATATGTTTGCTTTCTTTTATTTTCATTAGAATTAGAAGTTTTGCACTGTTCTTGACATGAATTTGGTCAGTGTAGGGGCAAGTGGACGGAATTTTGTCCTCTTATCTTAACCTATAACTATGAGCACAAAACTTAGTCACTTGGGTTAAATTAAGGCAGTTTTAACTATCTTGAAGTCAATTAAGAATAAAGTGCAAACTATTTTTTCAGATCATGAGAACATAGCAAGATGCTTATAAGCTATTAATAACTGATTAATAAAATTAGATCATATCAAATCCAATGGAATTCTCTAAATTTCCAGATATACTTATAAGCCAACTAATGTAATCGGTTTTAGCTATATATATATACAGTTACAAATTTCTTTAAAATATATACTCCATTAAAGAGGAATTTATTTTCACAAATGTGTAATGAATACATTAGTTCCCCTATCAGTTATTATTATTATTATTATTATTATTATTATTATTATTATTATTATTATTATTATTATTATGTATCCTAAATCCATTTTGTTTGACTAATCTGGACTATCCTCGAATAGACCACTAAAAGAATAAAGTGTTTTATCTAAAACAGTACTCATTCTAAGAATTCAGTAGTCTTGTACCTACTGTAAAGCTTTGAAATTTTGGTATTTTTTGTATTGGACCATCTAATATTCGAAATTTATTAATTCAATTAAAACAAATTTGTCTCAAGTGGGAGCCATAGGAATTTTTCAATGTTTACATTCAATTTTTTTAATTAAAGATGAAAGAATCTCGTTCATCTCATAACACTTCTAGGTGGTGCAACACTTTGTTACTCTTCGATGTCCGGTGCACGCATTGAAATTTTAACTAATTAACAATTTAGGTCCCATAAGTTTTTTATTAAACGAAAAAAATGCTCAAATTTCTTTATTTAGAGCAGTGCTGAATCTGACGCGAGGAGAGAGAGAGAGAGTATTGTGTATGGGTCAGGTGAAACATAACAACCCACAAGTAGCAAATGGTAAGCCCCACGACGATGGGACTCAAAATTTAGTGCTAAAAAACAAAAAAAAAGACACTGAAAAAGAAAGCCCCCCAAAAACAAAAAGAAACTCCCTTAACCAACAAAGAGGGAAAAAAAGTAGATAAGTTTTTTTTTTCTTTAAAAAAACACACACACAACAAATTAAAAGAAGAAAAAGCAAAGAAAGCGAAAGGAGATGAAAGTGTGATGGGGTGATTTACTTTTGCTTTCTATCAGGACAGGAATCTTTGAAAATCCAAACTTCTCATAAAAGTAAATGAATTTAAATAATACATTTCTTGTTAAAAAAAATTACTAACGGAAAAAAGTGAAAGTTTTGATTCAGCTGGGTGTTTGGAAGTGATTAAATTGAGATAAGTTAATTTGTGGTGTGTTTTCACAAAATATTCAACGCTGTTTCAAGAGTTAGTAAAATTGTAAAATAATATTAGAAACCTTTGAAATGAGAAAGATACATGAATGTTGATTATTATTTTTAGTTTCTCTTTTCTTAACGTAATTTGGAAATGATTTAATTTATTTTGCATTCAATTTTATTTCAAGAACTAGTCAAGTTAATTCGTATTACATCGAATAGTTTTTGAATATTGGACAAAAGTTACTTCATTCTCCATTTGAATAAAGTAAATTGTTTAAGGTCATCGTATGGCATTATTTAATAGGTTATACCTAAAGATTTTAAGGTCATTCATTCACAATTACTATAGATATTAACCGGTGATAATGTGTTTGTGTATAAAGATTAAGAGCCCGTTTGGATATAAAATTTGATGGAAGTTTTTTTTTTTAAAAAATATTTTTTTTGAAATCATCGTTTGTTTATAAAATTTTCAATTTTTACTTGAAAATTCAATTTAAAAATTTTCGAAAATTTGAAAAACTCCAAAAAACCATTTTTCAAAATTTTTACTCAAATTTCACGAAACTTAAAAAACAATCAAAACCAAAATTTATGTCCAAACACAACTCTAAATTTCAAATAACATTTTCAATTGAAAAAAAATTTCAACCATTTTTAAGAATTTTACAATTCTTATGTCCAAACCCCTACTAAATGTTATACGTACTTAATATTGTATTAGTATTAATTTAGAAACGTATGAAGGGTATATTGGTCATTCCAATTAAGTAAAGAAGAGAATTTAGAGAGAGAAACAAGAAAAGAGAATCTAAAGAGAGATAGAGAGATTTTCTTGTTTCTTTTAATTTGTCTCTCCTTCCAACACATTCTAGTCTTCTTCTTCACTCTCTCTTTCTCTCTCGCTCTCTCTCTTACTTGCCCGTTGTGAACACAAATTTCTGCAAATTTCGGTTTTCTCCTCACTACTATACGCCCTGGTACATAATGCTGCTGTAACTAATATGAGCAGAGTGCGCATTGCACACAGCACCATAGAATTCGCCGGGAATGAATCCCACCAGTGTAGACCCAACACAACCACCGCCGCCGCCGCCGCTGCTGCAACCACCGCGCTCCTCCTTCAGTTGCGACCGTCACCCAGATGAACAATTCACCGGCTTTTGCCCTGAATGTCTCTGTGAACGCCTCACTACTTTAGACAATAACAGTAATAATAATAATAATCCTTCTTCTTCTTCTCGCCGTCCTTCTACTTCCTCTTCTTCTGCTGCTGCTGCTGCCATTAAATCCCTTTTCTCTAAACCTTCTGCTAATAATCTTCCTCCTAAACCGAATATTAAACCCAACTCCTCGTTTTTCCCCGAGCTTCGTCGGACTAAGTCTTTTTCTGCTTCGAAAAACGAGGCGTTGGGCTTTAATGCTTCTGCTTTTGAACCCCAACGGAAATCCTGTGACGTTCGTGTTCGTAATACTCTTTGGTCTTTGTTCTCCATCGACGACGAGACAAAAAGTACTGCTAAAAAACCCACTTGTTCGCAAAACCCAAATGATATTGTTAATGAGGAAGAAGAAGAAGAACCCGAAAACGATGAAGAATTAGAGGCTGTGGTGGATGAAATAACTGAAGAGGAGGTGAAACCAGTGGAGAACAAGGTGGAACCAGAGATTGTAGTAGAAGAAGTGGAGGAGGTGAATAACGGGGATATATTGAAGCCGATGAAAGATCATATAGATCTTGATTCGCAGGCGAAAAAGGCTTCAGTTGCAGGGAGTTTTTGGTCAGCTGCATCGGTGTTTAGCAAGAAATGGCACAACTGGAGGCGAAAACAGAAGCTGAAAAAGAGAAACAATGGCGAAAATTCGGGTACATTGCCTGTAGGAAAGCCTATTTCAAGGCGTTATAATAATAGGGATACCCAATCGGAGATAGCGGATTATGGTTTTGGGAGAAGGTCTTGTGATACTGATCCTCGGTTTTCACTCGATGCTGGTAGGATTAGCTTTGATGATCCGAGGTATTCTTTCGACGAGCCTCGTGCTTCTTGGGACGGTTATTTGATTGGCAGGAGTGCTTTTCCTAGAATGCCGCCTATGGTTTCAGTGATAGAAGATGTCCCTGTTGTGCAAATTCCCCGCACGGATAACCAGATACTGGTTGAAGAACCACCACGTATTTCAATGAATTCTATCAATGAGGATGAAGGTGGGGTCCCTGGAGGTACTACTCAGACTAAGGAGTATTACTCTGATTCGTCTACGAGGAGAAGGAAGAGTCTTGATAGGTCTAATTCAATTAGGAAGACTGCAGCTGCTGTCGTGGCTGAAATTGATGAGATGAAGGCTGCTGCAATGTCTAATGCTAATAAAGTAGTATTGCCTGCTGTGAGTGTGAGTGATCAATTTCATGGAGCCAAAGTGTTGGTTGGTGAGAGGGATTCAAATTCGTTTTCGAATTCCAATTCTTTGAGAGATGACGGCTCTGAGACTTTTGAATTGACAGGTTTTAGGGATAATTGTTCAGTGATTGGAAATGGTGGGGAGAGAAAGGGGTCGTCGAAAAAGTCAAGGAGGTGGGCCTGGAATTTATGGGGGTTTATACATAGGAGAAGTAGTAGTAATGGGAACAAAGATGAGGAAGATGATAGGTATAGTAGATCAAATGGAGTGGAGAGGTCGTTTTCTGAATCTTGGCAAGACTTGAGGACTAATGGTGATGTAAGAGGTGGTATTAATAGGAAGGTGTTCAGGAGTAATAGCAGTGTGAGCTGGAGAAGCTCGACAAATGGTATTGGTGGATCATTTGGTGGGAGTGTGAGGAAATCTGGTGTTGAGATGAATGGCCATGTAAAGAAGAAAAGAGATGATTTTGTGTTGGAGAGGAATCGGAGTGCGAGGTATTCACCTAGTCATCTTGATAATGGACTCTTGAGGTTCTACTTGACACCCATGAGAGGCAGCCGGAGAGGTTTACCAGGAAAAAGTAGGCCAAATGGCTCACACTCAATTGCGAGGAGCTTACTTCGACTGTACTGATATCCAATCCAAGGTCCTTAGTGCTTCTTTTGATCAAAATGTTAATTTTCCTTGCATTTGTTTCCATATCCCTTGTGCCAATGTAATCTCGCGACAATGCATATGTCATCTATGTACTCCTTGGATTTTTTCTAATAACAGGAAAAGTCTTTTCTTTGTCATAACCTTTCCTTTTAGTGCTAATATTATGTCTCTCATTTCACCCTCAATGATTTTGTTTCATGTCTTAATTGAGTAGGATTACTGTGTTTGTACATACTTCTGTTTCACTTAATTTTGTTTTGCTGATTTTTACCTGTAAATTCGGAGTACCTTCAGTTGTCATTAGTGTTATTTGAATGTCCAAACCATTCAAAAATGTTCTTACTATTGGATATGTATGAGCAAGCATATTACTGTAAATGGAATTATAATTATGGAAGTTGGGGATTGTATCATGTTTGGTAGTATGACAGCCAGGGTGTATCTTTTTGTTACCAATCTCACGTTACTTGGGTCCTTTACGCTGCTTTCCTTCTAAACGTTTCCACATTTCCACACTTGTATTATAGGAGAAATGCAGCAGATCTCTCTTAATTGCTAGGACTTCTAGATGATTGACTTTATACGTTGTTTAACCCATTTTTCATACTCATAACAGCTATGATTCTGCTATAGCAATGTTGCCAGTAATGATATGTTCCAACTTGTTCTGTGCATATACCGGAAAATTTTATTTGGAAAACTGAAGCCATCAATATGGCTGTTATAACAATGATGTGAATTTCCAAAGGTTACTTAAATCAGCTAATCTTTTGAGATTCAGGATACATGAAACCCAAGCTCTTGACAGGTACACTTGTTAGTGATTTTCATGATTGTTGTTTGTTGAGTTCATTGTTCTGTTGGTCAGCGTCAATTGCTCTTTTCGGACTAGTCCTTGTCAAGGAAACAAAACATAGTGGATCACCCACCCAAAAAAGAAAAACAATAATGTGGTGTGGATCAAGCTGTTAAAAGTTTTTACTTGACTAGATAAAGTTACATATCCAAGGTTGTGTGCTTATGATGTTCATTGTGTATACCCTGCTGGAACTGACATTAAGTTTCTTTACCCTTTTTTATCCAGGAATGAGTTTGAGGCTTAGGATTGTACTACAAGCCGCTTATCTTTCTTGGTAACTGAAAATATCAGCGCGCAAAAACTGCCTTTTGAAAGAAGTTTCAGTTGCTAATAGGCTCTATGGTAACTCAGTTTGAGAATCAGCAAATTTATGTAGAGTATTGAATGGCATTACTTTGAACAAGTGTATTCTGGAAACTCTACCTTAGACCTTGTTTGGAAAGACTGCAGTTACACTACTGCTAAAGTTTCAAATAGGGGGATTGTGTAAAAAAAAACTGCACAAGATTTGTCTTGGTTATATGTAAATGTTCACTTAATTAGTATATGTAGTGTCCACTCTTAGTTCAGAAGACTTGGATTTTTCTTGCTTTCTCAATTGGGGTGTGTATGTTTCATTAGATTTGGTTAGAAATGATAAAAGATAAACTGGTGGATCTGCTGTAAGGAGAAGTTTTTCTCTTGATTCCCTTATTTCACAGCAAATTCATACCAATAACAACGCTTCAATCCTAATTCAATTGAGTCGGTTATATGAATCCTTAATATCCATTTGTTCCATTTGGATTCATTACATGTGAATGCGCCATGTACATCTTTTTTCAATTTCATCTTTCCAGCTAGTTCAGAGGCATCTCGTTGTAATTCTAAAACAACGTAATATAGCCAAAATATAATTGAGCAATCGACATGATATATTTGCTCACATTTCAAGGGAAGATCATAATTTGCAGGAATAACTATGATATAAATGGTAAGATTCTATTACATGTTAGAGATTTTATCTCTTTGGAGAAAAGCTATGGATTGGTCTGAACTCTAGAGAGTTTCACTATAGTTTTTGCAATATTACCCATAAAAATCTTAATGAATGCATGGAAAATGGAGAAAAGGGAAGAGTCTTAGCGAGCGATTGGACATAATTTAGTTAAGATTTGAAAAGAATAAGTGTTTGGAGTTGTGTTAAACTAGTAAATTTTTGTAAGTTAAAATTGCGTTTGAACATGCATTTTTTTTTTTTTAAAAAACTTGAAGTTTTATGAGTGGAAAAAAAAAAAAATTACCCAAAAACTGCCCTAAACTGGATTTTGAAAAGTTGAAAAAATAATATATTTTTTTTATAAAAATTGATCATATTCCATTAACAAACAATATTTTCAAAAAAAAAAATGAAAGAAAATTATCAAATATTATGGGAGTGAAGAAACCAGCTCTAAGTGGAAATCCAAGCATTATTTGGCCTAATTCATCAGCCTAAACATTTCTTTCCTTTCTTCTTTTGAAAAGGAAATGAAGTGAAAAAGAAAAAAGAATACAAAGCAATGATTATATGTCTAAATACTGAGGTGTTTTCCTCATCTTAATGGGAAATCAGAGTACTAATAAAGTCGGCAAATCCCTAAAAAATTTCTAAATATGAGATTGAGAGTTTCATGTTTGTGTCCACTTTTTGGTGTTTCTTTCCTCAATCAACTCATCAAGTAAAAGCTCAATGATCAAAATATGCTGCCTATTAAAGTCAAAAAGTGAGGGAAAAAATTAAAGAAAACATCAGTACATGTTTTCTACCTTCAATTCATGACCAACAAAAAGATGAAAAAAGAAAACAAAAGAGGCTCAAAACCCAATGCCAATATGTCTACTTTCCTCCTCCCAATTAAGTCCTCTTCTTTAGTGGAAATGGTTGGCAAAGATTTTCTTGGAGATTTTAGTAGGGTTTGCCTTCTTTTTCAACAGTTATGTACAACGTGGATGAGGTGCATGAAAATTGAAAATAGTTTTACGAGTCTCACAATTACATGTTTTATTATGACCTTAACTCCAAGAACAATAATATTGAACTCATTGTATTTTTAATATTATAAGTCCATATCTATTATTGTTTGCAATTTTAGAAAATTTTATTCATAAATTTATACTTCGCGTCCAAAATACTAGTTCACAGTACATCAAGATTGCATCTGCCTCACTTATTACGGACGAAAAATACTTGGTAATTTCTTTCCATGTACATAAACTTTAATAGACAGAGTTATTCGATATCAATGCTGATGAGAGGTAGCAAGTACGCGGTGAAACAGTCGAGGCATTAGTATGAGCATTTGATTTATTAGCTTGAGTTAATTGTAATTGATTACTAATTGAAGAGGCTGTAATTGATTACTACGATCACCAAGTCTTTTCATACTTACTTTTTAAATATGCATAGTATTAAATTAAAATATAAATAAAACTGGAAAAAGCAAGTATTAGAATGAACAGGTGTTTCAACAAGGCAAACCGTGTAGATTTCTCAGGAAATGTCTTATTGTGTCTTTGAAATGTCAAAACCCACTTTCTGGTTTGGGCTGTTCTGCAATGGTTATTTAGCTCACTGGGCCACTCACAGTACAAAGTCGGGCCTTTTTTTGTTGGACATCTCTTGAGCACTATTAAGAGATATATTTTAGAGTAAAATTCATTTGTAGTTACTCGGGCCAAACTTATATCACCCGGTAGCCACAAAATGACCCCATACAAGTCATAGCATAAAAATAATAATAACGGCTAGCAATTGAAAAATCTGATACCATAAGCTCAACTAAAATGGAAAGGAAATCACTCCTAATCGATTTTGTATCCTATATTCACGTGTTCAGTACGGAATCTTCAACCCCCCAAACGGTATAAAAGTCACCCAAATATTCACATTATCAAAAAATTCTAGGGTTTCTGAAGAGTAAACCCAGAGCAGAGCTCCAAAAAAATTCACGCTAAAATTCAAAGTGTTTGCACAATTGCGGCATATAATCAGGTTAATAGAGTTGAGATATCGTTCTGAAATTGTGAAATTGATACAAAATTGACAGACTCAATTAATGTCTATGGAGATTGTGAATGTTGGAACTACTGTTCTAATTTTGATTCCTATTTTACTTCAACACAGTGGTGAGTGGGTAAGTGAGAGTAAATTTGTTAATTTCCTTGTTAGGTGTGCCGATCAATTCGGACTATGGCTGTGGCCTATGAGTATTTTGTTGATGAGATATATAAGCAATTGGGTAGGGATTCAATTACAAGTGAGATGGAGATAAAATATACAGTGAAGAATGGCTATGTAGCAATTCCAATATACAATGATATAAATGTGCGCTTATATATGGAGATGGAAAAGAAAAACCTGGATATCACTGAATATCCATTATGCATAATGTTGAAAACTGTGTATTCAGGTGTTGAATATTCATATTCAAGTTCATACTTGGGTGGTAACTTACTCGCAACAACTTCAGCTGGTTTACTGTCACGACCCAATTTCCCTTCGGTGTGACGTAGTGACGGCACCTAGTCTCTACAACTAGGTAAACCTAATATTTTTTATTTTTTTTGCGGAATAGTGAAATAAAAATATAAATTTAACCAACTATTCAAAAATACACAACAAATCCCAAAAACCGGAACATCGTAAATCACAATGTGATGACCCAAAATGTCATCTTTAAAGTTAATAATTAATTCTGTGTTCTAAGACCTCGAAATTTGATTTCGCACATACGCCCAAGTCCCAAACTACGATACGGACCTACAGGAACTGTCAAAATACTGATCCGAGTCCGTTTGCTCAAAATGTTGACTAAAGTCAACTCAGTTGAGTTTTAAAGCTCTATTTCATATTTTAATCTATTTTTCACATAAAAACTTTGCGAAAAATTTTACGGACTGCGCACGCAAGTCGAGAAATGATAAATAGTGCTTTTCGAGGTCTTAGAACACATAATTAATTATTAACTTTAAAGATGACATTTTGGGTCATCACACACAAACTACAGAAAGAAAAATCTAGTGTCTCTATACATTAGAGTCTAATAAGGAAAAATACATAAGATAATGGACATGAGAAAGAGTAGAAGAGGACTCCGAGGTCTGCGGACACGGCAGATATACCTTGCAGTCTCCAAAGCTACACCGGCTCACTGATAGTGCAATTGATAAGGAGTACCTGGATCTGCACACGAAAAATATGTGCAGAGAGTAGCATGAGTACACCACAATCGGTACCCAGTAAGTGCCAAGCCTAACCTTGGTCAAGTAGTGACGAGATTAGGTCAGGGCCCTAATGGTAAATATATAATAAAACAAGATAGAGTGTAATACCGCAATCAAATAAAGGCTAAAATTTAACAACAATGAAATCATAGAAGGTAACAACTCAGTATACAGAAACACAATAGGGGATCTCTCTAGATACCGTCTTGTAGTCCCAAACGTAAATGTGCAGTACAGGGAGATCTCCCAGAATACCGTTCCGTAGTCCCAAAGTAAATATGCAGTATAGGAGGATCTCTCGAAATGCCGTTCCGTAGTCCCAAAGTAAATATGCAGTACAAGGAGATCTCCTGGAATACCGTTTCGTAGTCCCAAAGTAAATATACAGTACATGGGGATCTCCCGGAATACCGTTCCGTAAGCCCAAAGTAAATATGCAGCGCAAAGTTAGAAATACAACTACATCATGAAATCTTACGATTTAGACTAAGTACGAGTCAAGGAAGAAATAGAAAATTCACTAAGCATACTGCACAGAATTCACATAACAATTAAGACACGTAGACATATTGTATTAGACTAAACATGATAGCTACACATATTGGAATAACTCAATTAAGAATGAAAATAGATTAGTACTCATTAAAATGGTATAACTCAAAATAATAGGAAAATATGTTGCTGCTAGGTAAGAAAATCGGGTTTTACCACAACTAGCATGTGTACGTACTCGTCACCTCACGTACACGGCACTCACATATCACAATAGTTCCAAATCTTAAGGGAATTTCCTCCACACAAAGTTAGGCTAGCCATTTACCTCGAACCAAGCTCAATCAATCGGTAAGAATGCTTTTTCCTCGAATATCTGACCCCGAATGGCCCAAATCTAGCCAAACACAATTGCATATAATGAATACAACCATAATAAACTAATCTAATTAATGAAATTAATATTTAAATAAAATGTCCAAAATTAACTCATAATCGTGGGGCCACATCTCAGAATCGGATAAAAGTCACAAAATCCGAAAGCCCATTCACTCACGAGTCTATCCATATCAAGTTTACTAAAATCCGACACCAAATGGTCCTTCAAATCCTCAAATCAAACTCTCCAAATCCCTAGTCTCAAACTCTCAAATTCCACCTTAAATATACACTAACTAGGTGGAAAAATAAATGGGGAGGCAAGATTATTGATCAAAATAAGCACAAGGGATCTCAAGAATTCTCTCGAAAATGCTCTTAAAATTCGCCCTAAACCGAGTTTGCAAAGTCCAAAAATGACAAAAATCGTGAAGCCCTTCGGTTTTAAGCACTGCCCAGATATTTTCGCACCAGGCTTGCACCTGCGGGTGCGCTGGTGCGGGAAATGTGCGCATCTGCACAATTCACTTGCCCCCTC